AAAGCTGTCTGACTGACTGTCTGGCTGTCTGACTGTTTGACCTTCCGGGCGAGAGTAACTAACTGACAAGATGGCCTGAAAGCGAAACAACAAGCCTGAAAGATCAAGCCTCGCCTGCCAAGCCTCACTTGCTGACTCACCAGGACAACAAGCCACAGCCTGTTTAACTACTCGGAAGACTCGACGGGATGAAGGTGGAAGACAAAGCTGAAAGAGAGAGTCAGAATAGGGCACTTGGTTAGCCTAGGGGAGTGTGATGCGGCTATTTAAGCCCGAATGGACAATGTTGCAGCCTAAAGAGTTGCTCTGCACAGGCGCCGCCACGCAGTTATACGTGGACAGCTGATCCAACGGCTTCCCAGGAGCAGGCAGGCTCTCAGGCGGCCGTACCAGTACGTACCACGGGTTGGTCGGTCATTTAAGGCCGCTCATAGCTGATAATGGCTGGAGACGAGCAGTCTCAGATGCGACTGGTCAGGAGAAATTTATCATAGAACACGACCTGAAATACTAGTTAACTAATTACAACAGTGGTTGCCTGTATTCTTTTATTCCTCCGGCTAACTGCTGTTTATAGAGTCCTCCGTTTTTCTTCTCAGTGCGTCGCTCAAGAGCCATAGACAAGGCGGAAAACATCGTTAAAGACGAAGTAGCTTCCGGCACCATCGGGGAGGAGCTGGAAGGTCTGGCTGTAGTTCATGGGCGCTGGCGAGTCGTCAACCTGCGAGATGAGAGTCAGGAGACGCATGTACAATTTCATACTCGGGAATAATGCGTGATAAGCAGGATAAGGATATTCCATACCAGGAGAGCGCCGGTGACCATGACCATAATTCCACCGTTCTCGTTTGATGGCTGGGCGTCAAGGGTAGCTACTTGATGGGCGACTTTCTCGAATGGCAGAGACTATAGTGGTCAAAGTCAGCGAGAGATGATCATGGCCAAGGTTAACCGGGACTTGCGCAACAGCCTGGATTCACCAGCTTTTCCTGCGCATGGCAGTACTCACAGTCAACTTCTCCAGAATAGCAACAGCTCCTTGGATGGATGTGGTTTCGAACGTCAACATAGACTGGTCGCGCTATAGTGTCATATCTTTATTAGCTCTCCACGCCTGGTAGTTCCGTCTTTGAAAGGTCGCATCAAGCTCTTACGTAGAGGCTTCCAAGGTTACCCCGGTTCTCATCGAAGGTCTTGTAGTAGAACTCGACGAATTGTTCTGTTCCATGAACGCGATTTCTGTTAGGGCCTCTTCTTCGCTCTGGTTGCTTTGCATCCGGCTATAGATATACGCTCTCTCACTACCGTAGAAGGCAGCAAGTGGGAAGATATCACGGTTAAGGATATTGGTAGGGACGTACTAGCAACCTGTGTGAAGTCTATAGAAACCGTCTCATTAGCCATCTAGAGTCTTAAATAGGGGATTCATAGCAAGATATTCCTCCCATCCCATGGATGCGAGTGGAAAGAAGTTTTGAATGCAATATCACTATGATCCAGGGCTTTTTGGAAACCGCATAAAGGGAGAAACCCACCAGCCATCTTGTCTTTAATGTAGCCTCGTAGCCGCTTCTATGTCTCTTCGATCGAACTGCTTGTCTGCGATTATGTCTTTGGGCGCGAAGAAAGTGACGGAGGGGCTTTTTCTATTTATATGGTGGGGGGTTTGGCGGCCAAAGGAAAAACTCTTGGCGTTTAGTCCCCGTTTCGAAGTCAAAACATATATATTTTTACTTCTTTCAACATCACAGTGAAGATCCGGCTGTTGACTGTTGATGCTTCAAAAAAATAGTATTGAATATAATTTACATGAAGGAGGAAGATAGATTGATGTATCCATAAGATAAAGACGGTGAAAATGATTTCTTCAAACGCTGGCAAGACTACTTATTAGCCTTCGGACTCTGAGTCTGCAAACATGTCCTCTGCCTTGGGCCGACGGCGTTTTTGAGCAGGTTGAGCAGGCTCTGCGGGTTGAGGTATAGGGTCCTGTGGTGTAATCTCTTCTTTTGTAACTAGTTTTTCCTCTTGCTCCTTGCTAGGTGGCTTATCTTGACCCAAACCAGCGTCCTTGACCTCTTCCAGATCGCTGTCCTCCATGGGGACTCCGTCTATATCGGAGAAGATTTCGCCATTTAGGTCGTCATCGGCAATAGGAGCTCCGTCAATGTCCAGGTCCATAGGGTCGCCACCGTCCGTGGGGTTAGCAGCAGGATCAAACTGCCCTGTTGTCTCGGTATCTTCAACGGCTTTCCATTTGTTTTTGCCTTTGCTGCCAAATACCCCTGTCTCTTTTCCTTCTGCCACACGAGCCTTTTCTTCAGCTTGTTCTTTTTCAGTAGGTGGAGGGTGGTCGAAGGAGTTGACAAATGCTTCGTGGCTAGCCTGTGGGAAAACACACCAGCCTTCCCACAGATTGAGAAGAATGCCGATACTTCGCCTCCATTTCTCAATTTTCAACCTGCCCCATCCAAGTTCCTTCTCTACTCGACCGAGCTTCTCGAACGTCTTCTGTTGTTTCAGGGAATTTTCAAAGAGTTGTCGATAGCGCCATGCATGCCGTACACCGCTGGTAGACGATGACGAAAGGATATCTGAAATGATATAGAGGCCAACCAAACTGGCTGACGATGTATCTAATTTCTCATCAGCAGTTGTTTTCTTGCTTTGCTCCGTGGATTCATTATCCGGTTTGACAGGTTCGTCAACGTCGTTCTTGTTTGACCCCGAAGCTCCATTTTCGTCCTTTTGCCGTTCTGGGTTGGCAGAGGTATAAGCAAAGGGCTTATTCACATTGGATACAATCATATCAACAACCTCATCTCCTCCCCCACCAGCATGCTTGATTGCAAATGCAGTGACACGCGCCACATCGCCCCGCCGAAGTTTTGAGTGTGACGTAGGAAGTCTGGCCAGTAGGTGTGTGAGCTTTGCCTTTTGCAAGGGATTCAAATGGCCAGTTCCATCATTCCCTGTATCATTTGCAGCGTCATCCCGCCTCTTCTCTTCCTCTCTATCTGAATCATCTTCATCAGAGGAATCATAGTCTTCGTCTGAAACAAACTCTTCAAGTTTGGTAGTGTATTCAAACCGTAAGTTTCTCTCTGGCTCTGACCACATAGGGCCATTCTCGAATATGACGGTAGTTGAAGCATGGTTTCGCCCTCTACCGCGTCTTTTGCCGGGATTCGTCAAAATATCCCACAATTTCCACCTATACCATACCCCTCCGGTACTCTTTGAATTCCATATCCAGGCCCATTTTTCCTCCTTTTGAACTTCCGGCCTACTCATAAGCAGGGCCTCGAATTCAGGTCCGAACGTTAATAGATTCTCGATTGTCTTATGTATCAGTTTCAATTGTCGCAAGTCTGAAGGTGGCTTAACGTCGACTTGAAGCCCCGGGTTACTCCTACCCCCATATCTGGAATCATATGATGAAGGTGGCGCGATTCCAGAACGATGAGGCCCTCCACGCCCAAACTGACTGGCACGAGTTATGGGCCGAGCACCGAAGGGTTGGTTTGTTAATGACGTAGAGCCGGGAGCTATGGGTATACTTGAATGAATGGCTGCCGACGATAGATGTCTAGAAATCGACAAATAAAACCCCCAGCCCAAGTACTTATTCTGTAATGAGCTTACCACAGTATCCATATCCGTGGCGGCAGTGTCATGAGCCAGTGTAACAATAGCAGACCATATTCTCTTTTCGTTCACTCCATGTGTTGACGGCGGCGGAGGTGGTAATATCTTGACATTGTCTACAACCAATATCGGAGGAATCAACGACTTTACAACAGCAGGAGACGTACCGGGAGGTAGGGAAGCGAGATGCAATGTAGGCTTCGCAGCTGCTTTCTCCGCCTCCTTTTTATCAATAGTTGTCTCCTCTTCGTCGTCTGATGCCTGGAATGCGTTCAACGAGTCGCCCGTCCGCGCGCCTTCAAAACCAAATATCCCACGGGGCTTGTCCCGGTCTCGTTGAGAGTCTCTTAGAGACTCGAATGGTCGTTTCTTGGAGAACGATAAAGGTGGTTTTCCGAGCGATTCTGAGGTAGTTCTCATGGGCCCGGCAAAGTGTCGTTTCGATGGACCGCCGCTAAAGGGGCCGTGGCCTGTCGCAGACGCATGATGATGATGTTGCTGGGTGGATCGTCCACCGAACGCATTGGAGGAAGTAGATGGGCTTGAATCTTGGTCGAATGATTTCACAAAGTCTTCGTAGACAGCGGCCGTCTCTGCCTTATCTCTCTGCCTTTTGGCTTCGGCTTCGGCTTTCTGGCGCTCAAAATGTGATCTTTTCGCCGTGGACGGTTTACTTGGAGGAGTGTCGAATATAGACTTGACATGGGGAGCATTTTCAGACATGGTGCCTTGCTGCCCGGGCTCTTTTCAGAGAGCAGCGTAGCTCTTCCCAGCCAGGATCACGGTCTCAACCTGTCGTTGAAAGGTCAAGCTCTAAAGCTTCACTTTGTGGCTTGAGGAGGCTGACAGATAAGTGTCACGTGAATATTTTCAGCCTCATTATCGCCCCTTTACCTATAAATAGCGATAGGCTATTTCTACCACTGGTATGATAATAATATTTCATACAAAAAAGGTCATTAAAAAGAATCTTTATTACAGGTTCATATTTTGTGTCAATACCATGCTATCGAATATATTCCCACCATTATAAACAATAGAATAATCAAGACTCCAAGGGGGGATGAAAGAGAAAACGAAAAGGAGAAGCACCGGGTTACTCCTAACTGTACATGCGCAATGCTAATGAGTGGTCTTGACATCTCACGGACCAAACAATGGACGTGAGTAAAAGCAATAAATTAGAAAGGTTGAGTCCGGGGACAGTAATAGATGCATAGCCAAGCGAATCTATACACAGAAAAAACGGGAGAGAGGAAAGATGTAAACAGGGGAAGGGTAGGTAGAATAATGAAAGGGAAGAAGAATTGAACAAGTAAATACTACAATGCAATGCGTTATACGGGCGTCATGCGATGCGATGCGAGTCTTGAGGAAACCTGTATTTGCAGGGGGTATTAGAGTGGGTGAAGGGTATCTTGACTGCCATCCAGAATGGCGCAGTCATGTAACCAACTTGAAGAAGTGAAGTGCAGGTGATAATTACCCCTGCTAGAGTGGGCAGATAAAGCGAATGTGATGGTGACGTAAGTAGTAGGTCGTCTTTCTTTTTAGTGGGACGGATGGGAAATTATATATGGGGGTGGTAGATAGGTTCTCTGAAAGCAGGCTCACGGGCCAGGGATATCATTTTTCTCATTCATTTTTTTCCCAACTGTCAATTTTGCTTTTATTATGTGTTGGATTTTTTTTTCTTCTGCTGATTTTTGTTCCAAGGTACGTCTTTATTTGCGGAAGCTGTCGGCACCGAGGGTTGGGACTTCAACCAACCGGTCACAAGGGACACCTTCGTCGCGCCTTCGTTCAAAGAAATTGTCACACTCTGATACGACCATGGCCCATTCAGCAAGTGCTCTACCTGCATACTTGTTCATTTGACCATTGCTTGCAGGATGAATACGTGCGGCGAAGAGATTCTTTGACGCATTGTTTGGACGAGGAGCGATCGTCCCACTGGTTACCCGGGAATCGGGCTCTTCGGCAGCCGAATCGGTTTCAGAACTGTCTTCAGACCCCGTACCTGAGCGTGAATGGGACCTGGAACCAGAACTTGAGTCGGATATATTAACGGGAGGCTTTTGGAGTGCATGGAGGAACAGGCGAGCTGGCGCCGGGAGCGATGGGGGGTAGAGCTGCCTATTCCTACTTGGCCATCTTTGGCGGTCAATCCACTCCAGGCAAAACCGGAAAGTGTACGCTTGTCGCGGAGTGGCGCTCGATCCTGATTCCGGGCCGGGACCTGTTCCATCTTCTTTAGGGTGTTCGCCTGCACTGCGGCCTTCACTGGCTGTTGTAGTGCTAGCAGTCTCTGGGCTCGAGCTACCAGGAGGGGTCACTTCTCCAGGCTTGGGATTTGAGTTGCTTTTAAATATAGTTCTGAGTATTTTCCAAGTCTTCTTTAACTGTGGTGAAGTGGATTCGGCTTCCGCTGTTAAAGATTGGGCTTTATTTGAGGATTCTCCATTATGCGAGCGGATTGCCATCGAAGGTGGCAGGATATTGTCCAGACACACAAACATACTTGGGGCTGGCGGGAAATAGTCGTTTCTGATGATAATAAGACGGCGTCCAGGAGCTGGTGTACATGGGGCAGTCGATACAGGCGCCACAAGTCCCTTCTCTGCAATTGACTGATGGTTAACAAACTGCTCCCAGATGTGCCCTAATTTATCCAGTAAGGTTTGGTAGATACGACTGTAGTAGAACTGTTAGTAAAGAGAAACGGAGAGTCACGCCCTAAAAGACATACATATCAAGCTCTGACTGTTGTGTACCATCATGCCGAGCTAATCTCCAGCAAATCAAGCGGTGATAGTATCCGCGGACCATGGGGCTCCAGTGATTAAAATATTCGGTGAAAAGGGCAGTGCTTAGTAGCATATCGAGGCACAGCCTTTCCTTCCGTCTGATATCATGGTTGATCTCCGCCCAGCCAGTGAAAATAAAGGCAAAAGTCCGGACTTCCGTAAGAGAATTGTTGCTTTTGAGCATTTCCAGGCAGACATCCAGCCAAAAGTCCCAGTCAAGAGGATCAGACACGTCATTGGTACGGCAGTATGGAGGTAATATTGGGATAAGTTCCTCGACAAAGTCGCATAAGGCAAAACAAGCGTTATGGTCGTATAAAGACGTCTTCCGTGCGCCAAGTTTGAGGATCTTGCAGAATGATTCAATGAATAGCTGTTTTGTCAGCTGCTGCATCGAGGAGTCTGCAAGGAAATCCCGCAGGGTCATGATCAGCCTGCTCTCAGACATTAATATCAGTGAATTGGTTTGCCTCAGGGGTAGGCTAGCAGATGTCTCTGCGCCGTCCAGCAGATCATCAAACGTCGCACTTGCTGTGCTATGAAGGGCATCCGTGGGCTGTAGCCCGGTATGCTTGCTAAGGGTATTTTGCAGGACTATAAGCATTTGCGCGTGCACTGGAATAAATCCGGGAACGTATATCCTTTTCGACATGTCGCTAATTGATGGAAGCAGGTCTGTGATTAGGAGGTAGAAATGTTTCAAGAAGACAAAGAAAAGGTCTGTATCCCGGCCGGCCCAGCGAGGCGCCCATGGGCCGAACCAGTTGATTTGGGCAGCAGCAAGCGGGACTGAAGTATTACGCCGCAGAGCGCGTAGGAAGGACGAATGACCGGAAAACGCAAGGTTCCGAACAGCTGGGGGAAATTGGGATGAGATTTCCTCAGCCATCACTCCTCTAAGCACATGGTCATGACCAGGGTCAAATTCATTTATGACGTTCCGGAGTAAGGTAGGCGAAATATTCCAGAGCTTTACTAGGACGTTGGCGACATCGGGACAGAAGAAGAAGGCGTACGCACAAGTTTTACCACAGAAGGAGACCAGGCTAGCCGGAGTATGTCTCACGGACATACGATCAATTGAGTAGCCAACCTGGGAAAGTAAGTTCTGGTTGAAGGTATTGCGGATATTATGGTGGATTGATTCCGCTAGAAAGTCGGATCCTGTCGTCTCCAGAGAGGTGTAAGACCTAGCGGCCAAGTCGACCCTCGATGTAGAAGTAGAGGAAGAGCCAGATACGTTTGACTGGAAAGGGACTCGCCATTCTGGCCGAGTCATGATGGCAACAATTGATTCCAGGTAGACGGGCCTGTCTGTTCCAGTAATAGACTGGCCATTTCGTCCATTGAGTAGCTCCAACAAGCCGGTCCACCATCTATTAAGTATGTTTGTACGTCTGTCCAAGTCTTCTGGCCGGAGATTGTGATTAGAGGGATGGTTTAAGATGCGAGAAAGGACGGGGAGGAAAGACGAGCGTAGGACATTGACTTTAAGAGGAGTCGATTTCGAGGCGAATCTGTAATTGTTAGCTAGGATTCGGGAAGGGCAAGGAGAGCGTGAAAGCCGTACTTTTGGTAGTCCACATCAAGGCCTCGGAAGACGTGCCAGAGTTCGTCTCTCTTCTTTGGGGATTCTGGCTTTGCCCGTGAGGTTTGGGAGACGGGGACCTGAGGAACCGGAGGGACATCCTGTTTGCTGCTGGACAAGCTGACGGAGGCCACCAGGCGATCCCAAGACGGTCTCCGGCGTATCGAGTGTTGCGAAGAATCTCGGTTGCTCTTGGACTCGGCATGGGATTTCCCCTTGAGAGAGACGATGCTGGCCGGTCTGCGGCCTCTCTTGGGAGTTGTGGTACCTGAGGATTCAATGGGGGAGGTGGACGCAGAGTCTGAGATCGAAGTAGTGGCCGTGGTCGTTGATGACCCTGTGTCCGTTGTCTTGACAGATAGCGTGCTTGTTATAGAAGAGCTAGTAGCTACAGATGACGTGGGCTTGGGATCTGGAGGAGACGAGGAAGGAGAAGTAGAAGTAGTCGGCACCGGTGAGGGTGAGCGAGAAGTTTTCCATGGCTTCAGGGTCAGGTTCGCGAACGACGGCTTGGAGAAGGCCTTCCGGGTGCGTTCGGTGGACACTCTGGGGGCAGCCGTCACCTCGACGCTGGGATTGACGCTGGCCGGGGTTGAAGGGGTATTATTAGAAGAGGTACTAGTATTATCGGTGGTATCAGGAGTCGTAGCATCGGCGGTGGTCGTCGTCGTCGTCGTCGTCGTAGTAGTAGTAGTGGCAGTGGTGGTAGTGGTAGTAGCGGTGGGAGTGGTCGTTGTAGCAGCTCCCGTGGCCGTGTTGTTATGGTTCTTCGAGTTGCGTAATGGCCGTCGGCCAGCTTTCTCTCGCAACGAAGCCTGCCGCAGGATACTCTTGCCGGTCTCGACGTCGATGGTCTGTGTAGGCGAATGTGCATCTGTGGCGAGCTGCGAGAGGTTCACTTCCGAGATGGTTCTCTTGATGCTGGCGGTCTCGCTGTCGTCGAGCAGCTGGGGAATGTGAATGTAGCTGGCAGAGCGACCAAGCTCTGGGGAGGACCTCGACCCATCGTTAGACGACTTCTGATCGGGCATAATCGAGGCACGGCGAGGAGGAATCGAGTGTGATCGAGCTGCGAAGGGTGCGGCGGACGGAGCTGGCTGGCGGTACTAGGCCCAAGGACCGTGAGAGGCCAGCTCCCCGTCAATGGCAGGATTCTCGAGATCTAGCAAAACCATGAGATAGAGGAGTACAGGGCAGACGAAGGAGAGGGTCTTTCTCTCGAGGCCGCCGTAAAGAAGAGTGAAAAAAAAAAAAGCAGCGACGGAGGCGTGAGAGAGAGAAGCAGGGAGAGACAGAGAGACGGCGGAGGTAAATAGTCAGCCAGCAACGGCTTTTTCACTTGCGTGTGAAAAGAGCGAAACCTAGCGACAGGGTAGGTTCGTCATCGGGAGCAGCTCGATGACCTCAGCGACAAGACGATTCGGCCCGTCTGCTCGACTGCGGGCTTCTGGCTGGCTGCGTTTCCTCTGGCTCGCTCGGTGTTTTTTGGTCGCTGGTTGATGGTTGACGGATGGGTTGAATAATTATGAGCCGTCCAGTCTATCAAGTCAGCAGGTAGTGGCAACGGGCCGTGTCCATGGGTGAAGGGGAAGTCAAAGGCAGACAAACTCGCCGAAGAAGAAGAGAAGAAGAAGAAAAGATAAGAGAAAAGGCCTGTCCTGAAGCAATATAATAATATATATATATATAACTAACTGTCTGTCTCTATCTAGGCGTCCCCTTTAGCCTCATCGCACATCGACATCGCACACCCTCGCTCGCCGTCCGCCGCTGCCATGGCTCTATAAAGATCGCCTTGAAGCTATCATCCAAGGACAGCCACACCTAAAGGCATGTCTTAGCTTGGTTCATGTGCGCGAGAGATGCAGGGCGGACAGGGCCAGCAGGCAAGATTATGTCCATTTGCGAGTTCCTGCAGCCGCCTCTCAGACTCTCAGACGGCACAGGGCCCTTCCCTCTCTGCCATTTTCTTCCCTTGATTTATTCTCTCTTATCTTCGCGTTTGAAGTCTCTGGGTGTCTCATCTTCTTTTGGCACCCCTTGGCTGTCCTCCTGCCTGCTTCGTGGCGGGGGTCTTGCTCTCTCCCTTTTTTCTCCCGCAGCCTCTGCTTTGCTTGCTTGCTTGCTTTTTTTCTCCCTAATCATTAATGTTATATCCACTCCAAGGCCGATAATGCCTGTAGAGCGCCCACATGGGATAATTTAACTAATAGATCTCTGACGCGGCTTCAGATAGGTCCCTTTGCCGTTCTTGGGCGTTGGCATTCACTCCATACACACTGGGTGATTGCCAGCCGCGGAGTTTATCAGGTTGCTGTCGAAGGCTGACGTCTGGTATACACATCGAGTCCAGCGTCGACGGCCATCTCACTGTCATGTTACTGGAGCCAACACCAACTTCGTCTGGTCTTACCTGGTCCTGAAGGCTTTGGCTCCTGCATGTCTAGCTGCAGCTCGGCGCAGAAGACGCGGAAGACGCTGTAAAATTATAGAAAAAAAATTAAATAAAAATAAAATAAGGACAACACAACTCAAAAGGGCCATCTTGTCCGTGCCCCCACGGGGGGGACACTGGCCATGCATCTTTCTGCTGTCCCTGTTCGATCTTCGTCTCGAGTGTTCTGATAGGCGGCTGGATTTCTGAACTTATCAAATAGGAAGAGCCTCTTTTTCGGACGCCAGGAAAGCATAGAATAGGATGTGATATCAGTTGTAGGGGTGGCTATTGTTGTTGTTGTTGTTGTTGATTGCTTACTGTCGGGTTTAGGATGTTGGGAATATTGCCGAATGGTCGCCGCTGCTCTTCGCGGCCGTATATCAATGCCGGATAAAATAACGTGTTCAAACCGTTTAAAGTGGCCATTTTCCAGTCACATAAAGAAAGATAAGTAGCACTATAATGCGGTCTCACGTAAATGGGTAGGCAACAGTCGAGTAAGTAGTCGAACAATGCCCAGTTGCCAAGTTATAGCTATATATCAAGCACACCTAGAGCCAACACAACATTCACGATTGTACACTGTGTATAACAAGAACAAGCAGGGAAAAGACAAGAAAAGTGTTCGAGTTTATGTGTAACTATACATGATGACATCCCATCCTATCACTCTAATTCTATCGATCAACACATATTATCATCGGGCCGCTCGGACGGACGGGCGAACTGATAAATAACTTAGTGAGCAGCAGGTTTCTCCTCATCCATCTCAAGCCAGTCCTCCTCAACCGGGGTGGGCTGGCCGGCTTCCTGACCCTGGCCCTCAACCTCGACAGCCTGGGACTCGTAGGCCTTCAGCTCAGCGGTGATGTTAGCCTCCTCGGGGGATTGGGGAGCGGCGGGAGGTGAAAACTTCTGGACATGGCCATCGGCGTCGTTGGCCTTGCGGGGAGTGGGCTTGTAGGCAGCGAGTTCACGGATATACAGGTCCTGGACGGGGTCGGCTGGATTAGGAAAAAAAAGTTGGACGGGTAAGTAAGTCATTCATTTGCTCCAAATTCAGCGTGATTATTCATCAATTGACGAGAGTGTACGCTCGCCCAAGGTCTCGTGACTAACCACGTCTGATAGGAGTAGTAGCAAAGCTTCGACGAACAATCGGGCTCTGTTGGCGGACTGCTCGGCTCAGAAAAGAGACCTGGTGGTTGACCGGTTAGCATTGGTGGCCAGTTTCGGGATAGCAGACGAGGCCGCGGGAATTGGGGGCTCTCCCTACCGAGGATCTGAAGGACTGAGACATCATCACGACGGAGGTATGGGCTTGACTGGCTGTCGACAGGCTGGCTGCTTCGGGAGCTGAGTTTGTTCGTGGTTTTGATATCTCTTCGTCCTTTCGCCTTTCGTTCTTCTTTTCTTGTGAGGTTGAAAGTAGGTGTTTGATGAGTAAGCAAATGCTTACTTAAGCATAAAGTCACCAGAAGAGGCAAAGCCTCGTTCACTCTTTCGCCGATATCAACTTCGATCCTCGATCCTTCGACCTTCGACCTCCCTCTTTCGACAGACAACCCCAGCCTTTCCGCTGCAGCACAGACTGGAGACCGCTAACATAGGAGACGCACTCAGGCACAGCCGTTGGGACGAGCACCAACTCACTTCATTTTACCTCACGCTCAAACGGCTGCGCTTTTCTCCTCTCCTAAAGTGTCGACCGGCCTTGCCACTCTCCGTGGAAGCCTAGCAGAAGTTCGATTTCCTTCAGCCTGCCCGGCCGGGGCATCTTGCGGCGTCGTCTAGGGGGTTCTGGCGCTCTTGTCCGCCAAAGTCAAGGGTTTTCTCTCTAGAAAGGTAAAGCTGAGATTTTGCTGTCTTTCAAGGGCATCTCGCGCAAACAAATGCAAAAGCACACCAGCATGATANGAAAAAAAAAAAAAAAAGGGAAATAAAACAACCAGTTTGGGCCTTGAAGAAGCTGCCACTCTCCTCCATCATCTTCTGCAGGGCCCTCAATATTCAAGGTTAAAAGAATAAAATTTTTTACAAAAATAAAATACGCCATCATCATCCGCTTGACCCTCTTTCTCTCACCTCTCGCCTCCTCCTTTTCTTTTCTATATTATTTTGGAACTAACATGGTGTTAAAGGAGGCAGTGGTTGTCCGCATATCCTCTTGAACTGGAGAAGAAAAGCGTGCCGACAAGGGCCCAGCGATCCTCTTTTCGCATCTCCCTCCAGCTCTTCTCGTTTTCTCCTGTTCGGTGCCAACCGCCAAACTGTATTCGCCGCTCTTCATCCGTGTGTGCGCGTCTCAGCATAACCTTACCGTTAGCTACAATAAGATAAGGCGTCGTCATTCTAGTCGCCTGAAGCCTCAAAAAGGGAAGGTTCATAAAACTAAAATGGCGGCAGTAGGAACAGGTCTTCGGGGGGAGGCCGCTCAGATGCCGTGGAAGGAGAACCTAGCTGCGCGGCTTATATGTCCAGAGTGTAAGGAGAATCCTCCTAATCTCGTCCCCGAGAGCCACGAAACGATATGCGGCTCCTGTGGCCTCGTCTTGGCTGATAGGGAAATTGACCCTCACTCAGAGTGGCGTACTTTCTCAAATGATGACCAGAATAATGATGACCCTTCTCGTGTCGGTGACGCTTCTAACCCTCTGCTTAACGGTAACCAGCTCGAAACGCAGATTTCGTTTGGTACGGGTGGAGCTCGCAGCAGAGAGCTTCATCGTGCCCAAAGCAAGATGTCCACAGAGAAGACAAACAAGGCCTTGCTTGCTGCCTATAAGGAGATTGGCTCCTTGTGTGATGGGTTTAACATTCAAAAGAACGTTGCAGATACGGCAAAATACCTGTTTAAAATCGTTGACGATGCGAAAGCATTCAAGGGAAAATCCCAAGATGTTATCATAGCTGGTTGCATCTTCATTGCCTGTCGGCAGTGCAAGGTTCCGCGGACATTTACTGAAATATTCGCTGTCACAAGAGTTTCAAAGAAGGAAATCGGCAGAATCTACAAGGCTCTGGAGAAGTTCTTCACAGCTCAGAACCTTGAGCGCATCAACTCTGTGGTCTCAAGTGGAGGTATGAAGCTGACAATGTGTGGCATTTTAATATGACGCCATGTACTAACATACTTAACTAGGCGTTCCTGACCCCAACGACGCATACACTGGAACCACATCTACTAAGCCAAGTGATCTCTGCAACCGATTCTGCAATCTTCTTGACCTCCCCTTCCAGGTTACGAACGTTTCATCCCTACTCGCGGACAGAGTCACTTCCATGGGCGATCTCGCCGGTCGCTCACCACTTTCCATCGTCGCTGCTTCCATATACATGGCTTCCTTCTTAATGGGCCATGGGAAGTCGGCCAAGGAGATTTCCGGTGTTGCCCATGTCAGTGACGGTACTATCCGCGGCGCTTATAAACAGCTTTACGCTGAACGAGAGAGATTGATTGATCCTGCTTGGATTAAGGATGGAAAGGGTGACATGAGCAAACTTCCTATTAGCTGAAAGATGCAATGGGGAGTGTCATCCAATTTCCTAGGGCTACGCCAGCTTCACGCAATGGCTTGCATCTGCGGTTGTCTTGGATAGTCCACTTGATCTTTATAGTTCCTTTCTCTCTTTTTTTATTCTAGCAATAATCACGTTCCCACGGCCTGAAATCAATAGCCTCGTTCTTTTGATCCCTTTTATGGTTGTTACCATGCTCTTTTCGCTCGCTCTACTCCATACGCTCCTTTCTGTGTTTTCCTACCTTTTGCGGCAGATTGTAAACCAATTTCTCTCTCGCTTTCGCTTGTTTGTTCTGTATTTTGTGTTTCCTTGGGGGTCATACATATATTTCTCTTCCCTTCCCCTGAAAAGAAGCCGGTTATAACTCCGATGGAGGATTGGAGATTTCTTTCGCCAGATAGAATGGCTTGTGTATTTCGACTAATAACCATAGATAGAACCAATGGATTCGATTCCGTAAACTGGTTGTGTCAAAACCTACTATAATACTAAGTTTTTCAGCTGGAGATATATTTTCAACAACTTGAAGGGCTTTATAAGGAAATTATATACAGCTCTGGTATGTAGGTAATTTTATGTGTGTTCCAAAATTTGAACAGACAGTTTCATCAACCAAGTTTCAACAAGGAAAGAAACGCTGTAAGGACAGAGATATCTTCCATAGTAAATGAGGATAACAGGCGGTTTCGCTAGTAATTAGTATAAAAATGGTATTTGAAGACGAGGGGAAGGACGTGTACTCGATAGCATCATGAAGTACACGCTAGACGGGGGAAAAGAGGGATAAGAAAACAACTTGAATGTCATAATAATACGGGGATTTCAGAAGAAGAGAAGAAAAGAAAGAAATGTCGAAGACAGGCAGGACGGAAAAAGGAGATAAACCGAGCATGATGCCAAATGCTGTATAGTATAACAAACGCCGTGATCGAGGTATGAGTGGGAAAAGAAAACTGAAAAAGGACAAGTAAAAGGGCCATGCGTTAAGCTGCTCCGGTGAATCGTCCTAGCGATGACTCTGGAAGATGATTGTTTCGTTCATTGATGAAATATATACTGACAGAAAGGGGAAAGATAAAGAGAGAAGAGGTAGAAGATTATTGGTTTAATCTGACAGCTGCGTTGGTGATGATCTTTGAGACTTTATCAATCCATACCTGGGTTTGGGTCCAGTCTCTTGAATCCATGGCATCCCTAATGGCAGGGAAGTAAGTTGAGTCTTCGGGGTTCTCGGGCCATAGTTGAGGGGAGAATATCATATGTTTATATTGAGTGCGATTAGGGACCTGTGATATCAAGTTAGAAGATGGGGTTTTGAAAAGGCAGTAGGAAAGAAAACTTACTCCTCCGCCTTGTTCTAGGTCTAGAAGGTTTGTTTCAAAATAGGCCATATGAGTATTGTGAGTCATGCGTCTGAGAGCCGAGACATCGTCTTCAAATCCGTTCTGGTCATATATAGTGGCATTCCAATTCCCTTCCCATCGATGGAACTTGGCAACTTCGGCATTAAGGGAGTTGGCTGCGTCATATAGAGGTCCCAGGTCAACAACGCCGTCGTCAGGTTTATTGCTATCATTCTTATCTCGGCTCTTGAGAGGTTTCAGAGGCACAGATATCTTTTTGGCGTAGTTATGCAAATCCAAGACATACTGAGTAAGAGCCTTAGCAAAGGGGTGTATGTCAAAGGGGAGGACAGGTCGGCTGCATAGCTCCAGAGCGAGCAGGCCCCAAATCTGGCCCATAGCACGATGGTATAAGAAACCAGGGTCACCCGTTTTATGAATCCAGTCGAAATTGCTGTAACAACTGTGGGCAGGGTAACGATCTCCTTTAAATTCCAGACTGATGCTAGAAGTACCGGAAATTGTCTGGAACGGGAGAGAATCACCTTCCGCGTCGGGTCCTTCAAGTTTAGACCCGGCCTTGTCCCAGAGTTGCCGAATAGTTGCTCTTCTCCTGGGATCTGGTACCCGATTCAAGATGTGGAGCAGAATAGGCTCAAATAAAGGTGAGCCTCTAGCGGAGAATTTATCTCCAGAGACAGCAACATCCACATTGAGATAGGCAAATGCATTAGCCCTTAGAAGCTCTGTTCTGTCTTCAACGTGCTCAGTGGATCCAATCATCCCATACTCGCCTGCGTCCCAGCTGACGAACTCAATGGTCCGCAGTGGCCTCCATCCACGAGCCTTGAGCTCACCAAAAACACGGGCAATCTCTAGTAGAACCGCAGTTCCGCTGCCAGGTTCTACCGCTCCGAAGCACCAGGAGTCACGATGGTTACCCAGTATGATGCTGTTTTTGGACTGCTCGACGCCAACTATTCGCCCAATAACATTGTAGATGGGCTGCCGCTCAACCTCGTCCTGCAAATTCATCAAGTTGACCTTAGGTGAATCTTCGTTTCCAGTCCACCATTCGTTGATATCTGGAACACCACCAACCCAGTCCTTGGGTACCTTCTTACCATGACCCTTGAGAGCCATCAAAAGGTGTTGAGCATCCTTCCAGGAGAGAGGGATGCTTGGGATCTGGGGAAGCCCCTTAGCTTCGTCAACCTTCAGTCGCTTCTTTTCATCTGTCCGAGAAGAGAATCCAGGACTGAGGACGTCACCAGCCGCCATAGCAACGCGGTTAACTGCACCTCTCTGGACCCCATCCTTGGGCATGAACCTTCCCTTTGGCCAAGGATCCCCTTTCCGGAATCCGTCTTCAGCTGGATCAGAGTATATAATACAACCAGCCGCACCAGCCAGTTCCGCAGCCTTGACCTTTAGAGCCACGTCTGGCTGTGTCCCGTAATGTCGAATCAAGATTATTGACCCCTTGACACTCACGCCCATATCAGCAAGCTTTTTAAATTCCTGCTTGGATCCATAATTTGCATATACAAGCGGTCCTGTTACGTTGCCTGATTTGGAGAGTCCGTGGAATACCATTGTCTGCTCCCGGGGTGGATCAGTGTACACCTGGTCTTCCTCAATTTGCGCTTCCCACCGCGCCTCAGGAGGGTCAACTATGGCTACCTTCCTCCCACCTTTCTTAGGGTAGTTGAGATAGACATCAAACTGCTCCAACTCGACACTTTCCAGCCCATATGACTTGAAGTTTTCCTCCACCCATTTAGCCAAAGCGT